CTTATTTGCATTGTGTGGGACGGATGTACACAATAAAATTAAGTAAACTGAACAGCTTTTTTCTTTCAGTGCACTGCTTTGCATACTTCCTCCCCAAAACGGGGGTTGTTTGGTGTACTTCTGAGTAATTAGTGTTTTAAAAAATTTTGGGCCACTCAGAACTTTCTAAGCGCCTCAAATAAAAGCAATATTCAACATTAATACATCATATTAGCCCTGAATTGAACAGGTGTTTGTATTGCCATTACCTTTTCACTGAAAAGATAATGACTTGCTAACGGCAGCTTGCTAACGTAGAGCTAGCAAGCTGCATTAGTTTTTCTCAACTGCCGTTTGTGGAAATTAATTTCGATATATCAACTTCTGCCTCCATTTGACGCTTTACCACATGTCTGCAATCAAGTCATCTCTGTACAGCGACTTATTTTTTCCCCGATTGTTGCGGCCCAAAATTACTCATTTTTGCTGCACCTTTTTAAAAAGTTGCGGTCAAAGTTGCTTTTTATAATGGATGTGAGATTTATACAAAACATTTAGCATAGCAATATGCTAAATGAAAAGAAAACATGGCTCAAATGTAGTCAACAGCCCCATTAGAAAGGTAAAAGTCAAAGGTTACAGCTGGATTCATCCAGCTGTAACCTGGACATCTGGGCAATTATTCAGTCTTTAAATTATTTTTAGCTACAGTGCAGGAATAATATTTAAGAGTAGCTTGAGATCACAACAACTGGATTATTAAAGTTTTACACAAACTACAGTTGAAATAGCACTTTTTGTTATTCGCAGTAATCATAGAGAGAAAGAGGAGACATGCAGGTCTGGAGTTAGACTCCACACAGCTGCTTCAAGAAAAAATAGCCTGACTGTACCGCTACATCATGTAGCACCTCTAACAGTAAATACTTAATAATGCAAAGAACTGCTGAGAACTAACATAAAGCCATCTCTTCAGCAGCAAATGCAACCTTTGCAAAGCTGGATGCTCTGACAGTTGCTGTCTGACAGGCTCCTCTACTTTCAGTCCATCGTCTAATTTTAGCACAGGGCGGCTCTGCCCGTTAGGGTGATGTAACTGTATCACAGAGGTTAAAACTGAAACTGAGGAGGTAAAAGGTTAAGGCCCCTACAGAGGGACAGAGTATGAAGTGTTAAAACTGAGATACTTTCTGGGTATAAACAGACAAAAGCAAAGATTTTTGTGAAAACTAAGAAACCTGAGCTGAAGTGTTGAGGTGGGGCTAGAGAGTGATCAGTGTCTTTAAATGGTGCCTTCAGCTGCCTCTGTTCATCACACTGCTGCACTAACCACCGCGCTCACGACATCAATGCAGAAACAAGACTTAGCTCCGTCTCAGAACCTGGAAATGGAAAATATGAATTAATGAGAATCTAAATTAGATTCTGGGGGAGGAGGCATCTGCTCCGAGTGGGAACAAAAATCCAACATTTGTCCATTTGCACTCATGTATTCAACCAATAGGAATCATTTCTAAAAAGCATTTTTCTTCCCGTTTGTTTACTACTACACATCCTGTATGGTAAATGTGTCAAACTCGAGGCTCAGGGGCCAAATCCAGCCCACCATAGCTTTTTATGTGGCCCTCTAGATTCCAGTGAGCCACATAAAAGGAATCTTCAAACCGTTTTGTGCTTAAATATTAATCAAATCCAGTAAGTTTTTATCTGAATACTGACAAACTAGAACAATGAGAAAAGATTTTTTCATTTCAGCAGTTTCTTTCATTGGACAAAAATAATTCAGGAGGTATTTCCGTTTTAAAGTCAAGTTGATGTTTTTAGTCTGTTAAAATCATAAATTTTACTTTTCTCAGCAGTGAACAAAGCAAGCTAAAATATTTGGCAAGAATTAAATTTATCAAGATGTTCTACAATTTCAAAAATGTTCCACATACAGAATTGGCCAAAGATTTGATTACTAATTGCACCTGAATGCAGCATAGAAGGGCAGGTGAGAAAACCTCCATCACTGCCATTAGAAAAACTGTGTAGACAAATTTCCACAGTGTGAGAGAATACATATTTATATTCTGTAGTATTCAACATTTTACTGTGATGAATCTACATTAGTTTCACTTTCTGAAGTGAGAAATTATTTAACTTTACACCACATTTATATAGTTTTTAGATGTTACAGTAGTAAAATGTTCAACTTTACCAATAAGTCTAATAAAAAATCAACTAAAAATATGAACAGGCAGCACAAACACTTAGCTGTACAATTATTTACAAAAGAAACAAAACCAACCGTTTTAATTTATTGTTTAATGTTAATGCCATGCTGTGTTTCAATAAGAACGTTACAGATTCCCTGTCTGTGGCTCCAGTCAGATATCCAGTAGTACAAATCAGCTCCAAGTTACATATAATGAAGCAAAAAAAAAACAAAAAAACAGGAGAGTAATAAATGAAACAGAGCAAGAAAAGAAAATCTGATTCTAGAGGAGCTTCAATAAAAGTAGGGGAGAAGCAGCAGAAGCTAATGTGTTGCCTGGTATCTGTGCTGCCCATGATCTCAGCGCTCTGGGCAGGGAGCCGGGTCACACAGACACTTTCACACAGGTGAGGAATCTCCCAATGTTTGTAAAGAACCAAACCAGCTAGAAATAAGTTAGTGTTTAGAGATTTTAGCATGTGTGGACACTTACAGTATTTCAGCACTAAGCACAGTCCAGGAACAGCTACAAAACACAAGACTAACTGTAGTGTAAAACATTAAGCACTTCTTTGCCCCACGTGGATATCACACATTCTGCCAAATTCCTGGGGCGGGGGAAAGACTATCCTAACCCAACAAAAACTGGCGTCTGCACTTCTCCAACGCCCCCGTAAAAAGGTCAGATAATCTGTTCGACATGTCACTAAAAACAGAGATAAAATAGCTCCCATAACTAGTATTCAACATTATTAGTAATAAAAGTTAATTTCTGTAATTACATTAAGAAAAAAAAAATCTCAATACATCCAGCAACTGATAAAAATATGGAGGAAAAAGCAAAAACAAAACAAAAAAAAATACAATAATGAAAACAAAGAACGTTTTGCAGAACTGCTTGTACCAGGACAAAAAACAGCAAACAGGGACCTCTTTCTTTCTCTTTCTAGCGTTGGACTTCCTTTAATTAAGTGGTATTTAATCAAATGGTGTCAGGGCTAATACAAAAATAAGAGAAAAATAAACTCATTAACTCCGTGGCCCTGCTGGGTCAGGGAGGTGAGGAAAAAGAAAAAGGAGGGGGAGGCGGCGGAAAAGGAAGGAGGCAAGGAGGAGGAGGATAAGGAAGACAAAGGCAGAGGGAGTGAGGAGTGTGAGGAGGTGAAGGGCAGAGGGGAATCAAGTTGTTGGCTGTTGGTGGCATAGTCTCACTGGGGCTCGTCCTCAACGTCTTGCAGTGTCTCTTTGTTCTGTTCTTCACCTGGGGGACAGAAGATGCATCGTTAGAGTTGCTCCGAGACAAAATGCTCACGGGTAACAGATGCAGGCAGGTTTTACATTTTGTGTGCAAGCATCTCAACCTGGACAAGAAGGTGAAATGATACAGTGTGTGGTTTAATTTTGACACTCAGGGAATTAAAAAAGGAATTTCAGGGAGAAAACTACAAGAAAACTGATCCAGAAATGACATTCATTAAGATGTGGAAACGACTGAGCCACCTTGTGTTTGGGAGGTATAACTGCAACAAATTTACCGATTGTAAATTTCTAAACTACCTTGGTCAAGTGGATTTACTGTTTCTGGACAGAAAATGTTAGAGATCTTATTGAAGATGTCCTAATCCAATCCCAAGTGTCCAATCAAAGTCCTGATCAAAGCATTTTTGAATGCTCAGCATTAGATGGTTTTATTTCAGTCACACCCAAAGAGAGTTACTTTGCTGAAAAATAACTAAAAAAAAATTGTATCCTACCTTTGTGTTGCAAACTGTGTTCTGGGCCCAGAGAATTATTTTAGTGAGCAAACAAATCTTGATTTTCCCTAAAGACCTCTATAGGGAAAATGCTTTTTACCCTTCCTGTTTATCTTCGTCACCTGACCTGTTTGGTTCTGTGTGCTCTGTCCAGACAGATTTTAGTGGAGGAGAAAGCTTTACAGAAAGCGACAAAAGCATGAGTCTTTAAATTTTACATCAAAGCAAAGTGCCAACAAAGCAAGAAAACAAGTTTCATCTGCATGCTCAGATTGGAACTGCAGTGAAATGTGAAATTATCAGCAAATCATGTCAAAATAGCGTTAACATGCTAATGTTAGCCTAGCATGTCAGAAAACTGCTGCGCATTAAAAGTCTTTAATTTTATATGTTGGCAAGAAATCCATTGCTGTCCAGATAAAGACACTGCAGCATCTGGACACTGCAGCATTCTTACGAGTGCAGCGTATTATTTTAGCTCCTTTAGCCCCTTAGCTAGTACCTACACTGCTGCACTTGGTTTTTAGTATTTACTTGACAGAGTAAAACTAAAAATGCAAAGTTGGAAGACCAGCTGTCATTGATTGACTATGAGACGTTGCCCGGAGCAACGTAGATACAAGAATCAAACCTGGCAACAGAGAGTGAGCGTACCCTGAGCTTAAAAGAAAATGGCAATACTGAAATCAACACCGTGATCCAAAGACGAGATTCAGACATTTTTGATGGCTGATGTGGAACTACAAAGGGAATTAGATGATGGCTTGTCTCATCTAATCACATCACATTACTTGTCAGGTTGTTTAGCTTCGACTACTCCATAATCGGCAAATGCCAAGTCATAGAATGAATCAAAAACATCCTGATGGGACATCGCCTTTATGTATTGCAAAGAAAGTCTGCATGTTCAACCAAATGCATGATACTTTATCATTGTTTTAAATTTCAATAGTACTATAGAAGTATTCTAATGATGCTGGGCAGTTTAACTTTAATCTCAGGAACTAAAAAAAGATGCATCATTTTGTTTTAAGGATGCTGTCAAAAAAGGACAAAACTAATGTGGCAGATAAGACTTAAAGTTAAAAATATTAAATTACTAAAAAAATGTCTGCAAACCGATTCTAACTTCTAAGAAATTCAGTTTAATGAACAAAAAAAAACATTTTACAGTTAAACACTTTCTGCAAACAGACAGTGTCTGATGTGGTGATATCATTCAGGTCCACTCTAACAGGGAAGTCCTATTAAAAAGGGGCAATGATGAAGAAGTATGAAAAGTAGTTTTGTTAAAGTTGAAGCATTTTGTTTCATTGTGAAATCTCACAAACCTCAGTCTAGTTTCAGTCAGCAGGATTTCATGTAAACGGCATTAAAGAATTTCACACTATTGTTGCACAATAGATCCAAGATATTATTATTGTAATATCAGTAGGAACCATATCAATATTGCAACAGCTGCTTGGACCACCATGTTTGGATTAGTTAATCGTCTAAGTGCATGCAGTCATATTCTGTGGCCCAATAAAATACTTGGCAATGCTCATTGCTTAGAGTAGCAGAATGTTTAACAGAAGAATTAAGCCATTAGAAACTTTTTTTGCCATGTTGCGTTGGCCTCACAGTACACGTAGGAACATACAGTAGAAGCAGCATCACATAATAGCAAAACAATAAACCTTTAAATATAAATATATAAAACAATGAACGCCTGGATCAGAACTTCTCTAATGTATTTCTCTGAATGTAGTGGAAAATGGACTAAAAGCATTTTTAAATGAGCCGGAGCGACAGACAGGCAGGTGAGTGGAAACCGGTATTAAACTAAGTGAGTCGGTGAAGAGAAGGCAGTTGTGCGAGTACAGACACACGTAGAGCACGGGGTGGGTGAGCAACACTTACAAAGTACAGTTAACACGAGAAATGAACAGCTTTGATTCCTTTAGGGCTCTACAGCAGAGGGAATGAGAGAGAGACAAGAGACATGATGAGCAGTCGGTGAGAAACCCGCTGCGCTACGTTCGCCTGGCGTCACATCAGAGTCAGAGCGGCACTTCTGACAGATGATGAGTTTAATGAATCTGACAGCCATATTGGATTTGATTTGTGCTGGAGAGCTTCTAATGTCTAAGTGCAGCTTGTTCAGTTGATTTTTTTTTTCCTAATCAATGAATTACATTTTTATTTCAAAGAACAAACTGAACAGAACAGAGTTTAGATTGTGAACTGGAATTAATTTCAAATATTTATTAATCCTGAAGGAAAATTAGAAGTAGGAGCTCTTATTATCCATGCTTCTTCAGTGAGTCGTTACAGATGGTTATATTTATGAGAAGAATAGATCTCCTGCAGCCGTCAGTGTTGCAGCAGATCTGAAGAAGCCTCTGGCTGAAATAAACTGTAGTTAGAATTAAAGTAATTTTCCCCCACAATATATAGCGTCAGAAAACAGAAGCAGAGATCAGGATTTGAACCTATGACAGCTGTCGAGTTAAAACAGTCTGTGTGTATGGGGACAGTCGCTTTTCCGCAAGACCATGCGTTGCCGGAGTAACAATTTCACCATTTCACAGCAACAGTCACTTTTAATACTCCATATTTACTCAGAAAGCATAAAAGTTTTGATTTAATTTAAACGGCAGGTCAGGGTGTGTGGTTCATTTTATTTGCTAATGCAATAAAAACAGAAACATGAATATAATCAAAAGCTTATTTTTATATTATTTATATCAAACATTCCCAACATGAAAGCAGATCGAAGCACAACACATCTGTTACTCCACTGATAATTCTAAGAAATTGGCACTAATCTTCAATATTTCCAGTACAGGAATTAAAAGAAAAAAAACTATCAGTTAAATTTAATATTTGATCATGTAATACAGGTTTAAAAATATAATTGCCTGATATATTTATTTTAAGAGTTGGGTTTTTCTCCATCGCCGGCATCAGATTGTTCCGAAGGAGGGAAACGAGTTTGCTTATTATTGGGGCTGCAAAAAATGTTTAAAGTTCATCATCGTAAATCACTGTAGGCAACATGAACATTACAAAGAACCACAAAAAAAGGTTGGCCAAGGATTTATGTACAATGCTATCAGGCTCTCCATGTGTAAATTATACCTGGTGTTTAATGCAGCATTAAAGGTTTTATAAGAGGTGATATGGTACGTGGGACTGATGCTGCCAAAACTAAGGAAACAAAGATGTAAATAAAGAAATTTAAAAAATGAGGAAATATTGGAAAACCAAATATATTTGTAAATAAATGGTTTAATGGTTTACTTCTACATTTATTTGTACTACTCCGACTATTTTCCCTCAGTAATATAGTAATGAGGTGGGCATTTCCATCACTACTGCTTAGGTTGCTGCCTCTGCAACCCGATCCAGGATAAGCGGAAGGTAACGATCCCATAACCAAATGTTTTTTTCTAATATCATGCAGCCCTAATTTGACATACATTTTTAGTAAACATGTAGGTTTGCAGAACAGACTGCTACAGGAGATTCTTCCTGCTCACATCTATGACGACTCTGAAGAACCTTTGATTGTAAGAAAGTCACAATCCTGTATGGGTTTGGTCAAGTGTTACTGAATTTAAACATTTTTCTAGATGTATATGAAAGTAATAAATTGAGTTATTTTAAAAACAACAAATTGTCTTTAAATGTATTTCCATATGACTATATTAACCAACTATATATAAAAAGGTTATTAATACATGAATAATGATCGACGAGTGCAAACAAAAAGAAGGAAAATACATCTGCCCATTGCTTTGATTTATACATTTCTTTGACAAGGTCAAAAGTCCTGACCCAAGACAAAATTTTAAGCTTGAAGCATCAGATATAAAAAAAAAAAAAAGCTGGGAAATTGGAGGCTGTGAAGGTACTCATCACATCCACCTGCAAGGCTATCATTATCTCCCACAGCTGCAGTGAATCGCTACAGTTTGTCATTAGAGGAACTGACTCCTCAGGAAGTATAACAATTAACCAGAGTAACAGGTACTCAAATTTCCCCAGAGAGGTAACACAGGAAAGCTCACCAACATCTGCACTTCCTCATCTATTTTTGTTGTCGTGTTCAGAGTTTTGAGAAATGTTCTTGTTTTAATTGTGGTAGAATAAAATCACAACATATTGAATCGACGAAGCAAGAAAACAGGAGATGAGTGCAGGAACTGACCTGTACCAGCAGCTGTGCGGCAACAAGACAGACAGAGCAGCTCGTCCCAGAATCATAAAAGCATGGCTGTTAAGCTAAAGAAATGGCCGCACGAGGTTTACTCACCCTCTCCCTGCATATCTGAAGTCCATAGTGTCAGGTTGTCGCGTAACAACTGCATGATAAGTGTGGAGTCCTTGTAGCTTTCTTCACTCAGCGTGTCCAGTTCTGCGATGGCGTCATCGAAAGCAGCCTTCGCCAACCTGAGCAAACACACTCCTTATTAAAACCCTTTGTATTCATGTCCAAGTCG